CCATTTCCCTCCACAGAAAAACAACAAATTCCTAGAGTATGTTTTTTTCTTGATCATCTACTCCTGGCCCTGTGTCCAGTCTTGGAGGGTGGTTGCTTAAAACATTAGAGAAACCAGATTTCCTTTTGGTAACATGTTTTAATTTCTAATAACTTCTTGGTTTAGGAGTAGAACTTTGCAACCAGTTCCCCTACTCCTGAATAGACTCCATCGTGCTAGAAGGTACTGTGCAGGCTATTAGGGGACTAAGGCATTTGCCAATATTTCCGAGCTACAAGCCCAGTGACATATAAGTGATATGTCTGCAAGATATCCTGGTACAACGGTGACACAAGTATTTTGAGAGCCACCAGCCACTTTAATAAAAAAAAATTGAGTTAAGATATACTTCATAAGACAGAACTGCCAAAGTAGTCAGAACCTAAGCTTTGATAGCTCATGGTCCAGGAGGAAAACTTACTACTACTATTCTTCTAAAGGAACATAGCAATACAATGAGTTTTAATGTCATATTGGTAAACACATAGACTAGAGAATCACCCAACCCTAACAAGAGAAACTTTGTCTTGTTGTAGATGGGAAACAACATAAATACCCACAATGAATACTTTCTTACCAAGAATGCTTCACAGAGAGAGGCTCATAGTTCTCCATGAGATCATTGGTACTCTGATCCATGAGTAGCTCTATTTATTCATGTAGCTGTTTTTGTGATGTGTCTGAGATCTGGAGATCTTAATCTTCTGTGCCATAAAAAAAACAAAACCAAAATCCTCTGACTTTACATGTAATCTCGCATTTTATTAAATATGTAATCATACATAAACTCTACTACTCACTTTGATGTTACCACCCAAATCTTTCCTGTGAGCATCATCTCTCGTCATGGACCTATCTGTGTTTGAAAACTTAGGATACTCTATTATCTACGCTGAAATGCTGTACTTTCTGAACACCAATTTGAAAGCTCTGAGGTTTTTTTCTCCATTTATAATCAATCACTCAACAAGCTTGCCTCTTACAGTCTGCTCACTCAGTATAACAACAACCATTTTACTCACTGTTCACGTGTGGAAAATCTTTAACCATAAAAATATCTTAAATTCTATTGACTGTTTGACTTTTGTGAAATATTTTTTAAAGAAACCATTACTTATCTACCATTTATGCTGGTCTGTATAAAATTTTATTAGCTGTACTCTATATAACCAATGGGATATCATGACATTTTAAAAATCTTTAGAATCACATGTTAAAAACTTCTATACAAGAGCTTGTCTTTTCAAATGTAAACATTTTCATAGTAAATGAAACAAGGTGACATCAATATTTTATCTTATTTGCTCATACATATGTTATATATATATATATATATTTTCTAGAAAGAAATTTGTTATGCTATGCTTTGAAATATCAAAGCATTTGAATAATATAAATTTGTATTTATAGGAGACATATTGAACAATATTCATAAAACAAAACAATCTATATTCATTAAAAAGAATCACATGTATTTGAAATGAATGATATGAACATAACAAAAGATTTTTGAGTAAATAAAAATATTGGAAACTACTGAAAGAAGGATACTCTTGTTTATTTTATGGAAAATAATTATAAAATTACAAACATGAATTCTTATTCTTTCAATAAAGTATCCAGCAAAACCAAACTTTTCATTGTAAATTTTGCTTCAAATAATCTATTAAGTTTCTTGAACTTTCAGCAGGATAAGCATTTGTGTTTGGACAGGACTTTAACAAGAGGAAACCTATAGGTGTGCCTCTAAATGTCATTTGATAAGGACCACTTTTTTTTCACCGTTTTCTTGACCTATCAGAAAATCAGATATTGATGTAGGTTGATTAAAAATGATTTTATATATTACCTGGAAAATGAAGCCACAGTCAATAATCCTGTAGAGTAACCATTGTTATATATGTTTCTTATTTTGAAAGGGGCAACCTTCAAATAATGCTTAAGATGTGAGTGTACTGACTTTGGTGACTGAATCTTTCTATCACTGAAGGATGATAACGGGAATTATAACACTTTTCAAAAAGCTAACGCTTTTTTCTTCAACAGCTAAAATTACCATAAAATACTGTTCTCATTCTCAATGCCCAAGGTCAAAAACAAATACTATGAAATTTATATCTTCCATATAGTTTCAAAAGCATTAACCTCTCAATATGAACCTTTCCTTTTTTCTAATTACTCTTTTCACTGTTCCATAGAGTTAAAAAGAGAATACGCTGATATCAATTATTAAAGTTCATATAATTGTGTTCAATATTTCATTATAATTATAATAAGCTTAACATTTTTCAAATTCTAAAGCTATAAATGGAAATTTTAATTACCATGATATTTAAAATTGGACACATTTATTCTTCATCTACCAACATGACTATTAAATTGATCAGAATATTTACCCTACAAGGCACCTATTTGCCTCAGCCCATAAAATTCTATGTAAAAATTTAAAAGGACATAATTATTCATTTAAGCAGGCACGCAAGTGCTATTGAACCAGGAAATAAATGAAAAAGAAAGTTTTAATTTGTTCCGTTATGAATTTAAATATTGAAATGATTCTTTACTATTTCATACATATTTTAATTTCTTTCTACAAAAATCATATAATAAATATCATTGTTGTATTTATAAATGCTTGCTTACATATATGTATGTATATGTAAATATAACAATTATAGTCAGAGATAAAATTCTGTATAAATTTGAGAGTGAAGAATAATGGGAGAATTTGGAGACTGGGACTTGGCAAGGGCTTGATAGAAGAAAGAAAAAGAGGAATGTAATATAATCTTATGTAGTCAGAGAGACCTGCTTATTGGTCCCTGACTGTCCTTGAAATAATCATACAGAAACTGTATTAATTAAATCACTGGTTGGCCCTTTGCTCTAGCTTCTTATTGGCTAAATTTTACATTTAATTTAACCCATTTATTTTAATCTGTATATTGCCATGTGGCTGTGGTTTACTGGAGTCTGTTTCCAGTGGGTTTAAATAGCATCTCTCTGACTCCACCCTACTTTCTCCCTGCATTCAGCCTAGTTTTACCTGCCCACCTAAGTTCTGCCTTGCTCTAGGTTCAAAGCAGTTTCCTTATTACAGAGGGAAATCTCACATCACCTCCCCTTTTCTGTTTAAATAAAAAAAGAAAGGTTTTAACTTTAACATAGTAAAATTACATATAACAGGTATCAAGCAAGAATTACAGTTATAATATTTATATCTATTTTATCTTTTATCATAACTAAGGAAAACTATAACTATAAATGTCTATTCTTCAGCTCCATCAAAGACTCCAGAAGGATATAATATTAGCTAGTAAACAGGAAGTACATTGTGAGCAGCTTCCAAATCACTAGAATTGGCAGAGACATCTCTCTGCCTGGACAGTTATCCAAATTTCTTCTGTATTGTTGGGCATCCAACCTTCAGCCCACAGGCCCATAGTATCCATCAGACTTTTCCATGAAGCAGAAAATTTCAAAGACATTTTCACCTATGTTGGAAGTTTGTCAGTCATTTTTTTTTCTGTGTCCTGAAGAATGTCTAGCAGACTCTTTCATGAAGCAGGAACCTTGATCATCTCACATTTAGGCAAGTTCAGCATTCATTTCTCTGTGGGTCCTGCATGTCCAGTTCATCAAGCAGTCCAGGGAAGAGCAGTTTCTTGCCCAAATGTCTAAACGATGCCATAAGGAGTCTCTTCAGTGCCCATCTTCCTTTTCTTTACTTTTTTTTTTTTTTGAAGTAACTTGTGCTGGCAGGAGCAGATGTGTCTCAGCGTCATGAAAAGTTCTAAGTTCTTAAAGCATTTTAAATATACATATTTAATTTTAATATATATAATTTAAATATACATATTTAAATATGCATCTACTACTATATTCTGTAGTCTTTGAAAGATCTGAAGAATCTCTATCCATCTGAAATACATCTGTGTAATCTAGAAAATCAAACATGACTGCAAGTTATTATAGATGATTATCTATTAACCTATATTTCTTAATTATATATTACATTTTTAAATGAACTACACAATCATAATATCTTAATCAAGAGAAGAAATATACATATAAAAATTGACTTTAAATTTGTATCAAACCAAGATCCATACCAATCCAAAGTATTCATCTTTATAGCACATTTCGCCTTTAAATATAAACAATTATTTTATAAACAATATTTGAGAATATGGGCATAGTTTTCTTCAAATTGCTTCCTGCTGATTATTGGGCAAAGTAATTTTTTCAGGATTATCCAAGGCAACCTTTCGTGAGCTCTTGGTCCATCAAACCACATTAGTCTAGAATGATTCCATAGGTTCTCATCCTCTGTGGAAACAAAAGAAAACCCTCTTTTCGAAAGCAACATACCCTTAGACTCAAATTCTGAAGTCAAGATAGCTTTAAAGTATATCTGTTGGTTCCTTAGCTCCTTCACTGTCAAAAAATTCAAAGAAAACACAATAATATACATAATCTAGACTCTTTATTTTCCACCTTTTTATGGCTTATTTTTCTTTACTCCTTTTAATCTATGACTTTGTCTCTTAAAGACTTTTTTTTTATAAACCACTTATTTCCTTTTGTGATTCTCTTTTTCTTCTCTCTCCCAAGCACGGTGACCCATTTAGAGTTCTTTTTTTTTTTTTTTTTAAATCTGGGTTTGTCTATATTGCATATTTGTAATTATTTTCTGACCAGAAGCGCTTTTTAAAATGCTAAGTGCTTAAGAATCTAAGCTGTGCAGGAGCCCCAAAGGCAGCCCTTGGGTTTCCGGTTCTGGGAGTAACCAACCACCGCAGAGTCGGCAACTAGTACGTTGGAGGAGGCTGCCATGGAGGAAGAAGACTGGACCAGGCGGGACGCCCAGGTCAGGATCCTCCCCATGGGTCGAAGGGCCTTGCGTGGTGGACGCCCAGGGCCTTGTGTCCAGCTGCCTTCTCTTCTTTGCCGAAGCATCTATGGCTCAGGACTGGCAGGACTGCCCAACCCTGGGCCCTGTCTGGAAGCATTGTGAATCCTTTCAAAAGTCAGGGGCTTCTTGTGGACACTCAGACATCTATTATCGGAGTCCTATAGGAGACAAGATTCGAAGCAAGGCTAAGCTGACTCAATACTTAGGTCCTGCATGTGATCTCACCCTCTTTGACTTCAGACGAGGCATCTTGTGCAACCCAGCTCCCAAGACCCATCGCTTGCCTGTCCCCAGCAAGAAAAAGAAGCCTTCTAAACCAGTCAAGATTAAGAAGCGTCAGGGTGGGCTGCAGAAGAGTGATGTCAGGAAGGCGACCCTGCGGGCAGAGAATAAGGCTGGCGCTGGCAGAGCTCCAGCGCGCTGTGAGAACTGTGGAATCCACCTCCCATGGAATGATATCAGAAGGCAGAGGCTCAAGATATTATGCAAAGACTGTAGAGAAAGAATTGCCTTCAACCGAGAACAGAGAATGTTTAAGAGAGTTGGCTGTGGAGAGTGTACAGCTTGCCTGGTGAAAGAAGACTGTGGGGTTTGCTCCATCTGCCGCCTGCAGCTGCCCCAAGATGTGGCCTCAGGGCTCTTCTGCAAGTGTGAGCAGAGACACTGCCTCCGGATTGTGGAGAAGAGCCGAGGGTGTGGAGTGTGTCGGGGTTGTCAGAACCAAGAGGACTGTGGCTGTGGCCGATTCTACCTTCTCCCTCCCCACCCTGGTATCAAGCGCTGCTTGTGGCATAAACGTGACCATCTTAAGAGGGGCTCGAAGGTGGCTGCCCAGAGTCACTCCCAAGCTCAGTCATTGCCTCCACTTCCTGCACCGCAGCACCAAGAGCCCACAGAGCTGCACATCAGCGACCTAGTGCCCACATCACCTATTAAAAACATTCATTAAAATTGTATTTTAATTAAAATGTTAAAAATAAAAGGAAAAATTGTTTTTATTCACATTTTGCAAATTACTCAGAGAAGAGTTAAATCATTGTAGCAATTTATTACTACTAGCAGCTGGTAAAAATGAATCTCATACTTAAAAGATTACTAATGATCCAAAGTGTAATGAATTTATTTTGCTTAATATTTTTCTGTTCTTTACATTTTGTCTTTCAATATTTTGAAAATATTATTCTGCATCTTTATGTTTTTATCCATTTTTCTTAAAATATGTGGATATTTCTAAATTACTTTTAATGAGAATATATTAAATATCAACTTTAATGATTACATTCTGGTAATTTTATACTTAACTTGGAGCACTACATAAAAGTAAACTGTATTTAAGGAAATTTTCCATTTTTGCATATTGAAATAATTTAAGTGAAATTACTGCTCATAATTCAAGTGTAGAATTTGATAAGCATTTATGGAACTCCACAATCAGGTTAGTGAAAGTATCTATGAATCCCTAAAAACGACTCAAATCTAATTTTAATCATTTCATTCTCTTCCTTACTAACCAATTGTACCCTTAAGAATCAATAACACATGTGTGCACTGTGTGTGTGGTGTGTTTGTAGTTTTAGTATTTTTACACATTTGAATATTATCTTTAACATTATCATATTTGTACATGTGATCACATTGGCATCCCCACCCTTTTACCCATAACCTTTCCACTCCCACCAACCATCTTTTGTTCCCAGCTAGTCTCCTTCCTACTTACATTACCTCCACATTCTTATTAGAATAAGAAGTAGACAATCATAGCTGTGGTGTGCTGGTGAGAGCAAACAGTGTTCTACCTCTGTCTTCTCCATTCCTCAACTCCCACAGTCCTTCACTTTCTTCAGTGCTATTCCCTGGGCTTCAGAGTGTATGACATTTGTGGCACTTTGATTAGCTTAGCACTCAGTTACTTAATCCTCATTTTTGACCAGTTTAGAGCTTCTGGTTTGACTATTGTATATTGTGAAAGTTGCGTTAGTCTATGAGCATAAGTATAAATATTAGAAAATTATTTAACTTAAATCCACTTCAAAAAAGATCAGCAGTAGATTCCTACGTGAAGTCTGTGACATCCTTAGCCACAAACCTTTTTCTGGATCTACAGTCTCCAATATAGATTCCCATCCTTAAATTAATTCAGAAAACAGTCATGACCCCCAGAATACCAATGCACCTTTTCAGCAAAGGACTTATTTTGTTAGGTGGGTAGGGTCTATAGCTGTATGTGATCATTGATAATCTTTTTCCCTCCATGACCTTCATGAAAACTTGTAGGACTGTCAACACTAGGTGTCAGAGAGGAAGCTTCCATCCAATCTTGCCTTCATTTTTCTGAATCCTGTATCTAGCTGCCCTCAGTAATTCTGTCTCACTGTCTAGATCTGAATTGCAACAAAGAGCAATACTGATACCCTGTATTCTGTGGGATATACCTGGGGGATCTTCAGGTGGCAATTCACATTTGGCACTGGAACTCGTGTTTGATAAAATGCAACTTGTAGAAACAGTACTACCACAATGCGGAATGCCTCCAGAGTATTCTGCATGCTTTCTTATTTTGTAGCCTCTTTCATCAGGACAATATATTTAGGGATTCACCCATGTTGTGTATATATAGCTACTTAACTTCCTTTTGTTTCTGAACAGTATTTCATTATACATATATTCCCAAAATATATCAATATTTTCATATATAAATGAGCTTCCTCATAGTTGTTTGAAGTTAAACAAATATAAACTAATGTTGAATATAAAACTGCTTATTATATTCATAGTCAAGTGGTTTTGAAGGAAATGTGATTTCCTTTTGGTGTAAATGTACATGAGATGAAAGTTTGAATAATGTTTTTGTTTCCAGCTAATTTCGAAGAAATTTATATTATTTTCTTTAAAGCACTACATTTCTGAACCTCATCTATGTTCTGATAGCATCCCATTTCACACACAGCTGAGAAATTGTCTGCTGTAATTATAAGCCAGCGCGATGTCACTGTAGCTTGATTTTTCATTTCATTAATGATCAGTGATGATGAGCCTTCTAAAGCAGGCTTATTTATCACTTGCATAGACGGGGAGTTCCTGGTCTTTTGGAAGCATGGCATTTCTGAGAAAGAGGTTGCCAGTGACTCTGAGGTCAAGGGGAAGGGACACAGACCTCTCATTCTCCTTCCTTCACACTGTGATCTTCATGTCATAGCTGGTGGTCAGTGCCAGCTTTAAATGTCTCACTGCCCTAAAATCACAATTTCTCTAGATATTGTTTCAAAAATGTATATCCAAGTACCATGGATTCACACTCCTACATAACAAGAGAAAGAAACTGCAAATGTTAATTTTTAAAAAAATATGCAGAGAAATTTTTATAAATATGCATAAGAACTTAAAAATACTATATTTTTTTAAATAGAGGGAAACAACTTCAAGTGTGGGGCTCAAGTTGGAACAGGCATTGATTTACTACTCCCAGATACTAGATAGTCAGAGGTTAAGGAGAGAACCAAACACAATTGGCAACAAATAAATAAATAAAATCAAAGAAATGACTCCTGATGATATTCTACTATACTCATAGATGGGAACCTAGTTTGTCATGAGACGATGTTCATCCAGCAACTAATAAGAACAGATGCAGAGTCCCACAGCCAAAAGTTAGGCGGAGCCCCGTGAACCCTGAAGGCGAAGGAAAGGAAAGACTGTAGAAGCCACAGGGGATGAGGACACCATGAGAATAAGGCCCACAGAATCAATTAAGTAAGGCCCTTCGGGGCTCATAGAGATTGAAGTAAAAATCAGGGGTCCTGCTTAGGTATAAACTTGGTCCTTGACATATATGATATGTTTGTGCAGCCTGGTGTTCTTTTGGTACTCCTCACAGTGCGAGTGGGAGCATCTCTGATTCTTTTGCCTACACTTGGACCCTTTTACTCCTCCTGGTCTTTCTGTCCTGTCATGATATGAGGGTATGTGCCCAGTTTTACTAAAACTTGCTATGCCATGACATCATTGGGCTGCCTGCTCTTTTTTGAAGGAAAAAGGAGGAGTGGATCTGGGGAAGAGAGGACATGGGGGAAGGAAATGGGAGGAGTGGGTGGAGGGAAAGCTATGATTCAACTGTACTATATGAGAGGAGAATATTTAAATAGTGGGAAACAGGAATAAGAGAAATTTGAGCTGTAACTAGTTCATATTTTCAATTTTTCATTAGGCAAGTGTACATTTTGTTGAAGATAATCCTAAGTTGATAGACACAGGGCACAACTGAATTCATGTCAGAATTCCTTGCTGAACTCTCTCCTGCTGACAGGACCCTAAAGCACTGCATTGAAACACAAGATAGGAGATACAGTGTAATACATTAATTAAAATCAGCTTTCCTAATTAATTTTAACATCACTTGTTGTTTTCCGTTTCTGAATACCTAAATCATTGGAAAAAAAATGAAGAGGTATTATCTTTTTAGACTTCTACAAGATTTCTTGTACCTCATTATCTCTAAACATGTTCACATTTACCTGAAAATAGCCATTTATTGCAGCAATTAAAATAACATGAAAATGTTTCTGCTAATTAGAAAGAATGAACTAAGATGTCATCTCTCATTTTGGACCCAGACATTAAACCAATAAATGACATTTCTCCCTTGGACTCAATCATAAACAGATTTCTAAAAGATTATTGGCATACTTGTTATAAATATTTTGAAAAAGGAATGATTAGCTCAAACCTGTGTTTAATTTTGCATGTGTTTTTAAAAGATTATTCTTTTAATTCTATAGACACGAATTAACCAAAGTTATCTAATGCATGTTTGACTAATGAAAGAGAAGTCGTTAATCAAACCACATTGACTTCTCAGTTCACTTGCTCACAAGCGCACTCATTTGTACAATGTAATAAAAGTGTTGAAATAAAAGAGACAAAAAGAAGCTGCAGGAGATGTGGGGGGGGAAACCTGAATTAAAGTTGAAACAATAAGATAACAAAGAATTTTAAGAAAGCACATATTTTCTGCCAGGAAACTTCATACCAACTAATTTTACTGAATTCTGTGCTTATTATTTCGTAAAAATGGGTTCAGGGATGAAAGAACTTGATGGAATGTTTTGAAGAAACAATGCTTCATTCTTACTGAAATTTAGAAGTAGTTACCTTGGGCTATGCCTCTCTATAGAAGCAGAATAATGTAGATCACACTTCATTAACTGAAAAGGAAAAGGAAAAGTGTAGAACTGCCACACAGATCTAAATCCCACTCTGTGCTGAGAGGACAGAAGGCAAGCAAGTTGTAACAGCTCCTGTCTGTTTCCCTAAATGACCTCTGTTCCCCCATTAAAATGCCTGCCAAAGACAGCTCAAGGCTGCCAGGACCATCTACTGCTTGCTCTAGCCAATGCCAGACAATAGGCCCTGACCTTTCTATCTTAGAGCATTTATGAAAAAGGCTCACAATTATGAATCTTTCCTTTGTCCCTTTGAGATGTATGGGCATTTCCTACAACTCAGAAGTGTCTTTCTCAAGCACCTGAAAGCCATTGCTTTGAAATGCAATCAGCAGGAAAAAAAAGAAAAAAGAAAAGAAAAGAAAGGAAGGAAAAGGAAAGGAAAAGAGGCTTTAGTTTGAGGCACTTGGGACAGAAAACAATCTGCATTTCCACAGTGGCCAGAAAGCCTACACAGCAGGCTTCACAACATCTACCCTGACCATCTCTTTTTATTCTCTGCTAGGAGCCCAAGTCTCTGTGTCTTGTTCCTTCATTTTTCCTTCAAATATCCAATAACTCACCACACTTCAGAACAGAACTCAAGAGTTTTTGGAAATCATCAGTATTTACTGCATAAAATCTGTTTAAGCGACTTAAAATTCAGCTATGCTTTCCTTTGCCAAAATTAAAGTATTAAACACTCACCTAGGAATACATAACTCACTCCAGATCCTGTATTTGTCCTCTT